TACTCACTTATTTTACTGCCCCCGAAAATCTAGACGAACTATCGGAAAACTAGTCATTTTGTGTTGTAGGTAATTAAATTACCTACAATTTAAGGTACCTGAAGTCATTTGTCACTAATTTGTCAACTGCAAAATAAAGGTCGAACGCGAAACTTATCAGTTTTCGACAATTGCGCATTATTGCAAAAAGCTATGGATATCGGATATTGATGAAATTTATGGAAAAGATGGACAATCCAAAGACCAATATGTGTGCCAAAGGCCGATTAAATAGTCTGTGAAATTGTTGCTCCAGTACTTAATATTAATTTTAGAAGTTAATATTGTAGATGTAGGTTCTAATCGATCCAAAGAAATGTATAGAAAACGAAAAATTTCAAAAAGTTGAAATATTAATCCTTTACAACTAACAAAGTAGAACGTGTAAAATCGCGTTATAAACGACAGTTTTTTTTCCGCGAGTGAAGTCGTATGTTGTAGTATGAGTAAATGAAGAGATTAATATCATTTATCTAGGGAAGAGATTTAAACTACCATATGACTACTAAGACCAACAGAGATAGAAATAGCAACTACAAGTCTGATATTCACCAATATTCGGTCAAGAAAAAAACCTAAATTGTTTCAAGGTCAGGCAAAGGCTGCTCGGGAATTCGCTCTTTTTGCATTAAATAGAGCACCACCCTCGCAGCGAGATTTTTTAACCGAATTTGAAACGTTCAAGACAAATACCTCTCGTGCGACGGGTAGCGCATGCGCGGGTCCGGCGCTCCTCCCGCGTGCAGACCATTTGTTAACGACAATTTTTACTGCTTCTGGCTTGTTTATTACGTAAACTATCAATGTAAAATTTTATGGAAATAAAAGTTTAACCCTTTCTTTGTCTCAAAAATGCCAGCACGATACGTCCAATAGTTAGGTACCTAATTAACAATTAACATTATAAAAAAGTTATCTTTGGCACAAAGTGGCATAGGTGATTTCTCTCTTTTTTAAAATTACCGTAATTACCTCTATTTTGAATAATATTGTGTTTTATAATTAGTTTGGATAACTCCAGCTGAATAGAACTGGGCACGTAATTATAATCTTTAAAAATTTTGAACGGGGCTTGCGACAACTCAGATTTTCCTGGGTCTTCTCTGTAGCAGAGGGCCCTGTCTTCAATCCGGCAATGGGAACAGGACAAAACAAAATGGCTCACGCTTGCAATATCTTTGATATCTCGGCTTTTGGACCACATACAAAAATTCTTTTGTACTTAATCTGGGGTAGGTATTACATGAAAAATACTGTAATATTAATTATTAAGGTGACGATAAATGCAAAAAAAATGTAAATTAAATAAAAACTAAACATATACGGGACTATTTTGCTTCTAAGGCGAAAATGACTATAATATTCGTGTTTAGCTACCCCAGTGTAAGTATAAAAGAATTTTTGTACGTGGTCCAGAAGCCGAGATATCAAAGATTTTGCAAGCGCGAGCCATTTAGACTGCACGTCATCAGTTTTCAGAGCGAGCGAGCGCGCGCCGCTACTTCTCCGTTCGGTCCAGCTGATGCACTNTTTAGTAGTTTACTTTAAATAACTCAGCGGGATGACTTTGTACGAAAAAATGCTTAGGACATGATTTTGTTCGTAATAAATATAGCTACAAAATGGCGGTGGTCCGATTACGAAATTTGCAATAACAAATCCGTGAGATTGAAAAAACGGTATAAAACGCCAATTTTTTTAAGTTGCTGTAAAAATGTCAATTATAAACAAAAAGTGATAAAACTTTCGAAAGCTATAGTTCAATATATATACAATAATGACGCTAAAGCCGAAAATCAGGAAAGCAAAACTTTTTGTTCTATAAGGCGTTATACATTCATCGGCATCTGAAGCATCTGAAACTCGAAACTGCCAATTTTGTTCGAAGCTTTGCTGACACTTGAAATTTGGTACAGACATAGTGTAAATATGCAGAAACCAAAAGCAATTTGCAAAATTCAAGTATCTTCATTTTTGCAGTTTTGGTAAGGTTTGATACGTCACCCTAGTTTTATACGTCACCGTTTTTTTAATTTTTGGACGTATATTTATGTATATTTATAAAATATTCCATTACGGTAGATTAGCCAGCATAATTACCTACAATTTAAAAAGATATATATTTTCATCGTTTAGATCCTAAACTACTTAACATTTTGCGCCTGTTAGCTGTAGTCGTACATTATTCAACATATCAACATAAAACAAAATCGTACGTGTGGGGTAAACCTTTAACTTTTCTTTTTCGAGCGCGAGCTCTGCTCTTCGGCGCTATTAGAAATATGCAACAGTAAATTTAAACAATTGTTTACTTAAAGTTAAAGGTTTACCCCACACGTACGATTTTGTTTTATGTTAATATGTTGAATAATGTACGACCACGGCTAACAGGCGCAAAATGTTAAGTAGCTTAGGATCTAAACGATGAAAATATATATATTTTTTTAAATTGTAGGTAATTATGCTGACTAATCTACCGTAATGTAATATTTTATAAATATACATAAATATACGTCCAAAAATTAAAAAAACGGTGACGTATAAAACTAGGTTGACGTATCAAACCTTACCAAAACTGCAAAAATGAAGATACTTGAATTTTGCAAATTGCTTTCGGTTTCTGCATATTTACACTATGTGTGTACCAAATTTCTAGTGTCAGCAAAGCTTCAAGCAAATTTGACAAAGTTTCGAGTTTCAGATGCCGATGAATGTATAACGACTTATAGAACAAAAAGTTTTGCTCTCCTGATTTTCGGCTTTAGCGTCATTATTGTATATATGTTGAACTATAATTTTCGAAAGTTTTATCACTTTTTGTTTATAATTGACATTTTTACAGCAACTTAAAAAAATTGACGTTTTATACCGTTTTTTAATCTCGCGGCTTTGTTATTGCAAGTTTCGTAATCGGACCACCGCCGTTTTGTAGCTATTTTTATTACGAATAAAATCATGTCCTAAGCATTTTTTCGTACAAAGTCATCCCGCTGAGTTATTTAAAGAAAACTACCAAAAAATTTTTTTTTCACGATTAAATTGTTAATAACTTTTTTTTTCTGATAAAATACTTTGTCAGCAAATTAGCTTGTTATTGTACTCATCATTTAAAGTAGACCTGTGTAGTTATTTCCGAGTTATCAAGGTTTGACACACGCCGAACCTCTACCAACTGGACTATAGGTGATTTCCCTCTTTTTTAAAAATCACCGTAATAATAAGCTCTATTTTGAATAATATTGTGTTTTATAATTAGTTTTGATAACTCCAGCTGAATAGAACTGGGCACGTAATTATTATCTTTAAGGTAAATTTTGAACGGGGCTTGCGACTTACCTCAGATTTTCCTGGGTCTTCAGTTAGCAGAGGGCCCTCAGTCTTCAATCCGGCAATGGGAACAGGGCAAAACAAAATGGCTCGCGCTTGCAGAATCTTTGATATCTCGGCTTCTGGACCACGTGCAAAAATTCTTTATCTTTTGTACTTGATCTGGGGTAGCTATTACACGAAAAATACTGTAATATTAATTATTAAAATGACGATAAACGCAAAAAAAATGTAAATTAAATAAAAACTACCTAAACATTTACGGGACTATTTTGCTTCTAAGGCGAAAATGACTAAAATATTCGTGTTTAGCTACCCCAGATTAAGTACAAAAGAATTTTTGTATGTGGCCCAGAAGCCGAGATATCAAATATTTTGCAAGCGCGAGCCATTTAGACTGCACGTCATCAGTTTTCAAAGCGAGCGCACGCCGCTTCCCCCTACTTCTCCGTTCGGCCCAGCTGACGCACTCAGCGCTTGCACGCTTGTTTCTTATTTAATTACTAATACTAAAAATCAAGTAAACATATCCTATTTTTTTTATAAGTATTCAATTATCTCGGCTCCAGAAGGTCGTAGAAAAACATTTATTTTTTTAAATTCGTGAAAAAATCAGTCAGCAGTTTCTTTCTTTAAAAGTCATTTTCATAAAATAAAAATTGAAATAGTAATATGAAAAAGTCATTCTTTGATCCTTAAAATTAATAAAATCGTCAACATTTTTTAACAGCATGATAATATGACTCTTTACGAAGAAAATAAACCGAAAATCGTTACTGTAGGGCTATCCGCTGAGAAGATTTAGCCAATTTTCGTGAGCGCGTTATTGTCAAAAAATCGATATATCGAAAAATAATTCATATTTTTAAATTTTTCAAAAATGTACTTTTTTGGCTTGCCGCAGGCTATGCTTGCAGTAAATAGCAAGTATGGGAAAGATAGATGTAAACGAGTTATAGAAGGAGAGAAACGAGATTTTTGTTTTTTTCGATATATCTCGAAAAGTAACAAAGCAATCGATACTTACAGAAAATCAGTCGATAGATCTTTTTAAAACCTACAACTTTCTCATTTAAAATTTTTCAATCGGTGCTATATTTTTAGTTATTTTAGAAAAACAGTTTTTTGCAACTTTGCGATTTTTTTTAACCATGTTGGATCGAGCTTAAAGAACAAGAAACTCAATTTAAATTTAATTTTCTATACGGTCATATTTTTTTTTGTCCAGGTAATAATTTCTGTAAGCATTTCTCTATAATGCTTGGACTATTAATAAATTAGTGAAAAATGACTGTACGTACCTTAAATTGTAGGTAAATTAATTGTCTACAACGCAAATTGTTCGATATGTCGTCTAGATTTTTGTAGGCAGTAAAAAAAGTGAAAAAACAAGTGAATTTGCAACTTATTTGCAATTTGCCAACTTAGTGTCACTTCTTTCGAGTTACTTTTATTCTACATACCCTTCCCCGTCACAGAGCGCAATAAAAAGTTTTTCGCTATCACATTAAAAAATCTTGAACAGGTTGGTCTTTTTTCGACTCGCACCGCTTCGTGAAATTTTCAAAGTTGTAACCAGCGTCACGAGCGGCAAACGCGTTCGAGTAGTCTATAAATAACAACACAGATGAGGGTAATTTTCAATACTAGAAAATATATTTTCTTAATATAATTTATAAAAAAATGTATGGAGGGAATATCGTTAAGTGAAAACATACAAATATCTCTTAAAAAAGGCATTTCTTGGTTCCTAGCAAAAAGAATAAACCTGGAGTAGCGTAACAAAAATTTTTGAGCAATTTATCGATACTTATGGTCCATGTTTTATTACTTTCCTATTCACTTGTTGTTAGCGCTACTGCCACTCGGCGAGTCATCGTTAAATAAAAAGATATAACAAAAGGATAACTTTACTAGCGACTATAAAGTAATAAATATTTTTGGTTTGTTTTAAACTTATACACTTACCGCTAAGTATGGTAAACACGTAAATGCTTATCCAAGAATATATATATGTATATATCTATAATATATATGCAAATTTTCGTATAGAAGTGGTAAATTTAATCATAGCGGGAACGCTAGTAGAACATTTTTAATCAAATAATAATATTTTCAAAATATTGTAGTAGTATCAAAATTGGACTATTCGTGAACGTACACTGCACAACATTCTAAAATTACTCAGAGGCTGACCAGCTTGGGGGGGCCGCAGGCGTCCGGGGACGAGAGATCGCCCATGTTGGCGGGAACGTTTCGTTGTTGCGTACTGCATGAAGGCACCAGCGGGGCCGACACCGGCGTGAGCCCGGTGCCGCCGCCCATGAGAGATTCGAAATTGAAGGTCATTCCCGTCGAGGGGGTCGAAATTGGCACACCTGCTATTTCGGTGATATTGTTCTTGGACAGGGGAGCCGTGGCTCCCACGTTCAAAGAATTCGGTCTGCTCGGCTTGGATATAGGCACTGTCGAACTTAACATAACTTTCTTCGTGGAGGATGGCAACAAAAATATATCGTTGGGTCCCAGCGGCTCGATTAGCTCCGTCTTGACCCGTTCGTTGTCGTTCCTGTCGCTGAAAATGTTGTTATTGAACGGCTTAATGTCCGGCGGGCTCTGAGTATGCAGACGGCAATGGGGAGTGGCCTTGTGCGACTCTAAGATATAATCTAATTGTTCCTTCATCTGTTGCAACTCTTGCAGTTCCTCTTGCAAGCACTGCTTTTTATGCTCTAATTCTTCGGTTTCCTGCAGAAAAAAAATATGCTTTTACGATTCCAAACGTGAAAGAAAAAAAGGAAAAAAACAGAAAAATAAGCAAAATAAAAAATGTAAGATTTTTTTTTTTAAAACAAAGTCACAAGTTCAAAAAATAAAAACATAGATTTTAGAAACGTTAACAACCTTTGAAGTGTGCAATATACAGGGTGTGCCATTTAACACACCCGCTGCCAGTATCTCTGAAATGAAAAAATTTATTTTAGTTCCAGGAGTTGGGGTTGTTAGGTCCCTCGGAGAGCTTCAAATTGTACTTAGAACTGTTAGTTCAAATCTTTCTATATAGATGGCGTGGCAATACTTAAAAATTTTTTGATCCCTGGAACGTGGAAAGGCAGTCCATCTGAAAGATCGTTAAATTTTGAGTAATTTTTGTAATATAAAGTTTTTCCCTATATTTAATTGCTTTCGAGATATGTCGACTTCAATAAGCAATGTATGATGTAACAGGAAAATCTATTATTTTATTTAAATCACACCGAGACAAAATATTCTTTTAATATATTGTTATAATGACTTTATTCACACCACATACTAACTAACAAACAATAAATTATAAAAAATCAAATGATCAACTACAGAAAAAAAAATTGTACAATGGTAAATCTTTATAAGGGACACAGACGAACCGTATTTTATCAAATGTTATTAAAAAATGCAGTCATAGGTGGCTCATGTTATTTGTTTAAAACAAAACAATGACAGATAACACATTAGTTTTCCAATAATTACAGTTTTACCAGCTTCCCTCTTTCACTTTAAGTATACTAGTTATAAGATTTACCATTGTACAAATTTTTTTTCTGTAGTTAACCATTCGTTTTTTTTTTATAATTTATCGTTTGTTAGTTAGCATGTGATGTGATGATGTGAATAAAGCCATTATAACAATACTTTAAAAGAATATTTTGTCTCAGTGTGATTTAAATAAAATAATGGATTTTCCTGTTACATCATACATCGCATATTGAAGTCGACATGTCTCGAAAACAAGTAAATATATTACATAAATTACTCAAAATTTAACGATCTTTCAGATGGACTCCATTTCCACGTTCCAGGGAACAAAAAATTTTTTTAGTATCGCCACGCCATCTATACGGACAGATTTGAACTAAAAGTTCAGTTCTAGCTACAATTTGAAGCTATTCAAGGAATCCAACAACCCCAGTTTCAGGAACTAAGATAAATTTCTTCGTTTCAGACATATTGGCAGCGGGAGTGTTAAATGGCACACACTGTATACTGACACGTTTTTTTCGTCTGCTCTTTTCAGTGTGAGATTTTCGCATAACCATTTTCATAAAAATAACCCATGACTTTCGGGGTTTGCTACATTATTTTTTTTTTATTTTTTCAAATGTACCAAAAGTAAAGAAAAAATCCAAAACTATGGCACAAATAAATAACATCAGACGATCAATTAAATATTGGTGAAATAAATTAACATGCGAGTGAATTAGATGATCATGCTTTCATAACACCTACAAATTAGTAGGTCACTCTTTGTCGGTAGATACAAAATAATGCTTTGCGGCATATCTCATCCATACACAATAATCAACGCAACACCTTACACCACAGTTATCGTTTCAAAAAACTCTGTTATATTATTATCTTATATTTTTATAACATAGCCACGAAAAGATTAAATTAAGTATATTAACGGAAAATTTAAACTGAGAAAGATGAAATTCTTTCAAAAAAACTTGTTAACAATCAAAACTTTTATTATATAAAGGTTTAATTACTCTCCAACACCTAAAAATGTGTCTAAGTTTCCGTAATCCGTAGAAGAAACTGCTCGCAAATTAAAGAAAAAAAATAATTTACTTAATTGAAAACCTCCAATATTGACTTCAACGGCAGATAAAGGTAACAAAAAAAAACAAATCAATAAAGAGATCCAAAGAAAAAGAAACTGATACGATTAGAATAAAATTAAAAACGACCGTGTTTATTTTGCTGTAGGGCAAATAATTCCTACTCAAAAAAAATTATTTAGTTTTTTGACATTTTAAAAAGTGTACCTATCTAGAAAAAATATAGACTTACTGCAATAAGCGAATTAGTGTGGTCCACTCGGCGTTTTCTACATCTGGCAGCTGCAGCTTTATTGCGTTCCCTTCTAATTCGCCGTCTTTCTTCTTCTTCTGGGCTGCAATTGAGATCTTTGGCGGGTTTGCGTCCGCCCATATTGCGACGGTTTTGTCCTGGAATTATGTGTCTTCCAGATTTCTTAGACAAAGGAGGTGTGGATCTAGTATCACAATCCGAACCAGACTGGGACAATGAACTTTGCCACATATTCTGCGATTTGTTTGAATAGGTATCAGCTTCCGATGCCGATATATACTGATTATTACCTGAAAAAATTATAAATATATTAACAGTCATTTTTGTGGAAAATATAGTTTTTTAGTACACCGGTATTTGTAACTGTCATTAGTATACACATAAAATCACCACAATTTGGTAAGATATTTGTTTACATGGAGTTCGTACTCCCTGTGTAGTCTCTATGGTTTTGAAAATGAAAAGATGTTGATTTTCAAACAATTAAGTGACATGTGTGATGTGGGTATTTCTTATTTTTTTTCAGTTTCTTTTTAGTGGGATTTTTTGTTAGGCAAAGATAATTTCATAATTTTTTGGTGCAAGGGTTTATTTAAAATTTTTTTTATTAAATATCCAAATAAACAAATTTACTTCCTAAAATCCACCTGATTTATTTTTTAAGTTTTCCTAATAGTAAAAAAATCATTTTATTCTTAATACAAAATATATCATGACTATATATTTATTTTGTTCCACTATTGTAATATTTTTAGTAGCTACGACATCCTTTTTTCATATTTATTTTTCTTAATTAACAAACTCTCAAACAAACCAAAAAATATATGTGGTTGCATTCAATTTTTTCGAGAAATTAAACTGAGGATGACTTCATTTTAAGAAACATTCCAATCGTTGAGATATAAATTAACTTTTAAATTGTTTATAATAAAAAATAAATCACAGAGGGCCTGTTTTTCAATCGTTGGTTAACTCCTAACTTAAGGTTAGCCATCACTTTATTTTCTTCTGTTTTAGTGGAGAAGCAATAATCTTCTTTTAACATGCAAGCTTTTAACAAAGAATGAATGTATACATTCGTTTTAAATTTTTTTTCTTTACTAATCTATGACATCTCCAATATAAAAAGTAACAATTAATTAACCAGCAATTGAAAAACCAGCCAAGAGAGCCTTTTAAAATCGGTCATACTCGTAGTTTGTTAATTTCTGAAAAGACAAACACAAGTTACAGCATTTAAAAAAATTTTTTTCTGTAGGTATGGAAATGTGTTTTTCTTGTTGTATATTGGCTTGGATTAGGTTAGGTCGAGTTAGGTTAAGTTAGGAAATACGGGGTTAAATTAGGTTAAGTACGTAATTAAATTAAAAAAAGTGGATTATATCGTTTTATTCATAGCTTTGCATTTTTCTCTATTTTTTCTTCAACTATCCTCACTTTATAATACTTTTTAATAAGATACCATTGTTTCTAATTTACTTTTAATTGCCGCAAGTGTTACAAACCCTGCACTTTCTGAATTTGAATTAAAGCAAAACAAACGTTTATTATCTACTTAGGACAAAATTAAAATTTGCGAAGAAACATCTATTGTTTACATGGTACATGGATTCCATTAATGCAAATAATTATTATCCCATAAAATACAAGCAAAAACATGTTTATGCTTACCAACTGCATGAACTAGTGGAGGTACGAATCCAGCTTCGTTTTCATGAGTTTCTGGTTTTGACTGAAGCTCAATAAAGGTTTGTTCTATGTTTCTTAATGTTGTGGGAGTCAGTGTTGGAGTTGTCCTTGTTGGAACACCCGAATTTAAACCCTCTAGTGTTATAAACTGTAACAAATACAATCCAAAATTATAGATTATGAAGTCTTACGAACCTTCAAAGACCAAAAGTGTCTTTGGTTTGTAAGGAAATGATATATTTATATTTCCAAATAAAATTTTCATAAAATTCTCCACCAAATCTTTTATTGGTTAAATAGATATACCACCTTGTCTTATTAATTTTACCATTTTTAAGTTTTGAAGAACACGCTACATAAGTATTGTATGATCACTTTAAATTTTGTGCAAGCTGACAAACCCACCTTACTTTTTTAAATCAGAAATTAAAAGTTTAGTTCGTCATGCTTTTTAAAACATCCTCTAGAAAACTTATTATCATCATAAAAATACTTCTAACTGATTAACGACCGTTTTAGGATTTTCATTCCAAACTTAAAAATAAGAAAATTAAAATGGGGTGTGGGGTAACATTTATAAGCCATAATCATGTTAAAATATAAGAGAAGTCATTGCAAGGTAGGTACCTACCTATATATTTATATTATTGCCATAATAAATTATATCAATGATTAATACAGTTTGAGAGACATGTAAATTTTAAATTTTAGTTTTGTCAATGTAAATTGCACTAACTGTACAAATGTATAATTAAATTTTCGACATGTTAAATATTCTCATTTTTTAAGACCAATTAGGAAAAATATCTATCTATTATGCATAATATCAATAGTACATTATTTTCTGTTATCATCGTTTACTGTCAATTAATACATTATTATAAACTAAAATGTGTACTTGCCGCCAAGTTTATTATATTTACTAAATTTACTTTACAATTTTTTTAAGTTCACATTGAAAACAAAAATGGTTGTTTATTTAAATATACTTTAATCACAGTAAAATAAATATTTATGCTGTGCTTCAGTTTTGAACATAATTGTCGCCCACATTAATGAACATGTACAAAAAAGTCTTTAAATAAATAAACATCATTTATTCAAACTACTCTAATTTCTAATTGAACGAAATATGACATTTAAGTTTTGATTTGATTATAACAAAATTGATATTTGCTTTTCAATTTGTAACGAAAAGAAAAAACATAGTTCTGAAATAAAAAGTACAGGCAATTGACATTTACTTTATAATCATAATAATATTAAATTATATATGGCAGAAAAAAATTTTTTCATTAAAATAAAGAATTACATGCAGTGCTTTCATATTTCCTTAAAAGGTAATTAATCCAAGTTGATTTAATTACAAAAATATTGCCCATTTTGTAAACAATTTCAGTCAGAGCAAGTGAGATTTAACAATGAAAAAAGAGTTTGTTATAATATGAACGTTTTTCTTCAAAATCTCCCTGGGTGCTAAAGTTTAGAAAACTACTACTTTTTCGAGTAGGTACTTTTTTATGGAGATATTCAAACCAAATTTTGTACAATCATACCTGGAAAAAACCTGGTACATTAATGCAAAAATATTTTTGTGAAAAGCGTTTGTACAAAATTTTCTTGTTTATATAAGAATGTATTCCCAACAAATTTTAAGGCCTTGGTTGTTCTTCCTTCTTCTTAATATTTCCCTAAACATGTTCTATGTTTGTTTTATTTTGACTACTACCTTTTTAAAAATATATATTTTACTATTAACACTCGCACTTTTTTACTCCATTTATAAATGTATTCAGCTAATTCAAATAAATTCAAAATATTTTTAAACACATAATTTTGTTCTATTAATGTTTATTCGTCTCATTCACAAGGAAGCTACCTGAAAAAACAATGCTAATAAAATGTGAAAATACTAAGATCTTCCTATATGTAGGTAGTAGCTATTTTTACGTGTAGGTATTTGTTAAGATAATGTTAGAACAACATAAATACAAGACATTTCTTTGAAATATTACATTATTTTACGATTCCACTATCGAAAAATTTTAAATAGTAAGCCAGTATTATAAAAAAAATCAAACAGTCCTATTTTGCAATTTTTTAGATTTGCTCCTAAAAATATCAGTTTTCTAAACGGTCGAAATTATAAGCTGACAGTTGTGACAGAAAAATAAATCCAACACTTAAATGAAAATATTACTAAAACACAAACGCAGCAGACAAAATATAAAGTCTTTTTCACTGTTTCTCAAAGACCTATTATACGCGTTGAATTACTTTTAGAATAACGAAATAATAAAAATTATAATATTAGACAATAATGCATCTTTGTGTATATTATTAACACAAATGACCCTCTGCCGATAACCGTTTGCGGAAAAATCCAAAATATAAATACCTGATGATAAAATAACTCCTGTGCAAGGAAGTGGGTGATATCTTTTTGATCGAGACAATCCATTTCTCCAAAAAAAAAAAACGCACCAAAACGTTCAAATAAAAAGGCAACAGAAATAATCGCACATATATAAACATTAATCGAATCGTTCTCTGTAGATCGAGGTTCGTTCGTTCGAAAATTAAATACTTTAGTCGAGCTTTAAAGTTATCCGAGGCTCGACTGTCGGATAATGATTTCGTCAAGAGGGAATTTTGGTTTGTCGCCCACTGATGCTTTATTTAGATCGAGGTAACACAAGTTCGCATTTACATTTATTTATATCTTACGTTATTATTTTATTACAATATCATCCAACAAACTTTTCCAAATAATTAGACATATTGTAGTACTAATACATACTTATGGAATTGTGTTTAACCTTCTATGGTCGTCAAATCTCGGTAGAAATATGATTATTAAAAAAAAATGTCCTTCGATTAATATTAACCGGTAGATAAACACTTATTTTAATACGTCCCATTAAAACAACTAAAAGAATATTTTTGGAATAAATCTTTATAATATTTAGTTTTCAAAGCTATTTCGATAACAAAGATAAGACATGTATGTACGTGAGAACTGCGTTCATAACTGGTAAAATATCTTAAACACTTGTTCATTAATATATTACACTTTATAATATAATAATACAAACAAATGTGAAAAAATAAACTCCGATTTGATAGATGTTTCTATAATTTTTTTATGCAGTTAAGTGATCTGCTCTGCCAAAAATGATTTCATATGTAATTCATTCTCTTTCTTTGACTGATTTTTGGATGAGCTTTGCAAAATTACCCTAACTGTTTATTGTGAAAATAAAGTTCTACTACAATTGCCATAAATACGGCTGACTGGAAGGCTGTCAAAAATATTTTGATCACACGATATTTATACACAAAAGATGTACAACAATAACCAATAACTAACTGGTTACGTTGCTCTAATTCATTTTTTCATTTTAAAGTTTGTTTTTTTTTTCGTTTAATCATCAATTACTGGCATTGTTCTTTTATATTCTAATAACGAGATCGTTGGGGCTACCAATTTTTTTTTTTTAGTACCAATAACCAACCATAAAAATAAATCCCAAAAGTTCCATACCTTAACAGCCCTATACTGAAATTCTAAACTCTAAGCTCCTAAATCAGGGGTCGGCAAGTAATTTTAGGTGGGGTCCGAATACTTTTGAAAATTTTTAACGAGGTCCAGAAAAAAAATTCATATTTCTTATTTTTTATTTTAATTTGGACTCAAATTTAATCTGCTTACTAATTAAGAACTCAAAATACTCTCACAATTGTAAAATACTAGAAAAAATGATAAGATTGGCACTTAAACGTAAAAAACATTTTTTAAATAATTTATTTGAGTAATTTATACTTTCAAAGAATTTTTGGCGGTCCAGTATATTACCTTCCGCGGTCCGGACCTGGACCGCGGTGCGCCAGTTGCCGACCCTTGTCCTAAATCTACCTACTTCCCGCGTGAACCGAAAAGGCATCGCCTACAATTTGCTGCGACCAATTTGAAGAGACCAAATCAAGGATCAAACAGAATCAATGGATAACGATTAAAATTTTTCTCTGTTTAAAAACGTCTCTGTAAACTTATTCAATTCGGCTTACGACGACATACGACTTTTCAAATTTTGGTTTGGATCTGACAATAAAATCACCACTTCCGAACGAACATTTCGAAGAATTTCCAGTGTTATCTGAGGGCATTCTTCAACAATTCCTGGATAAAAAAATTTTTCAACAAAATCTTCATACTCAGTTCAACTTTTTTACCTGCTTTACTTTAAACGAGACAATATTGTCCCGTCTTGTCTTGTCGAAACAATATCCCGTAAAATCATCACAATGTCGATTAAATTCCAATTCGTGAAAATGGTAAGTACAATTGCTAAAAAAGTGGAAATAATTAGTTTTGTTTTACAAAAATAATGACTGCACGGCAGACAGCACAGATTTTTAATGATCGTCATCCTGACAAAAACACTTCGCATCGGTACGTCCTGGATTTAGTGCATAAATTTTCGGAAACTGAATCGGTTGGAAACAGAAAGCATCAACGTGAACAGGTCGTATGTACGTGATGAGGGTAATCAAATAGCTGTCCTGGGTCACATTTCACATCGCAATTGAACTAAATTTGAATCTCAGGAAACTTGCAAGTACTTCAGGAATTTCTATACGTAGTTGTCGCCGAATCTTAAAAATTCACCCATACAAAATTAGTTTAGTACAAGTAATTAAGAGAGACGATCCTGATCTATACTTGCAGTTCTGTGAAGAAATGAGTGATCGAGCTCGAAGATATCAACATTTTTTGTAATCAATCTGTTTTTCCGATGAATGTATGTTCCAGCTGGATGGTCAAGTCAACCGCCATAATTGTCTACTGGAGTGATGAAAATCTACTCATCATGAAACTCGTACGCCGCATCCGAGGAAATTGAAAATTTGAGCGGGCATACTGGGACCTTTCTTCCTACCGGGAAATCTAGATGGAAATGTGTATCTGAATCTACTGGAAATATAGGCAAATGACAACGCTTTGCCAGAAGAGGATGTGTGGTTTCAGTAGGATGACGTTCCACCAAATTATGCCGTAGCTGTGCGTGATTTTCTTAAACATACGCCATCACGTGTCCCCCTTGAAAAAAAAATCGACGTGTCTCAGGCTTTTTCTTAATTCCGATATTTTCCAAGTGGGAAGTTTCAATTGGAACACCTTGTATATATTTCTCTATTTCCCTAGTTTCACAAATTTTCCTGTAGAACTAGGGAAAAATCCTCTCTGCGCCCATCTCTCCTACTATGAGAACATATACGAAATGCGACGCTCAATTGTTTCCGATCGAACATACGTTCAAAAAAAAAAAAGTTTTCTTGTATATCGGCGTATTCGCTTTCAACTAATAATGCAAAACAAACGCAACTCCGCATAATATATTTCTTATTTCATGATCCATGGGCGTGCCCAGGGGGAGCGCCTACCGCCCATCTCCCGGTTTTTACACCCAACGAACGAACATGCCGTAGAATCAGGCAATTTAATTGGTTTTGATTAGTTCTTAGTTTTTCTAAATTAAAAAAATATGCGATTTTAACATTTTTGTGAAGAAATTAGTGAATTTAATCGGCAGCTTTTTAATTACTTTAATTTGAAATACGACGTCACTAAGTGAAAAAAACAACTGTTAACGATTTATGCTTTATACGGTAAGAGTTGTTGACACTGTCGTCCATACTTTTAGAAGTTAGGTCATCCGTGGCTAGGGGGTAGTGCAATCAACCCCTGCATATCTAAGAAAGTGTGTTACAAAAAGATGCTATTTATTAATTATGTACTATAATGCGGTAATAAAATAATAATAAATGTGTAATCAGTCACATTTAAAGTGTCTGTCTCAATGTCCTCTGAATCCTAATGGCATACAAATGACAAACTGAGGTCTTATTTTGACTTACTTGATAGTGTAGTTTGTAAAACCAATGATTTCTGATAAATCTACTGATTCCGCGTCCTCCGCTAGAGGTCGCTACGGATTCTTCGACCAATAATAAAGTCCCTCTTTCTGGATTTAACCATTTTGAGCTTCATGGATCACGACGCATATTTTTAGATTTTAAATATATGTCAAAATGAGGAAACGCGAGTCTTATATTTTTTAACCTAGCTTCATTTTGTGAAGTAATTAGGAAGTTGTAAAGCACCCCGTTGTATTACTCTTACCCTTACCTCTTACCCTTCAAAGTAAATTTTCTGCAATCAGTATGTTTTATTAGTTTTTGTGAACTGATAACTGTTAGCGTCTTACAAATTTTCTGCGGACGCCTATGTCATGACCCCTTCATTCAAAGTACCTATTTTGAATAGGTATTTAACATTGTTGTCGCAAGTCGGTTCAGAACATAATTATTTACAAAAAGGCCTCCCGAAGTTCGCCAGTGATCTTTTGCTTATTAAAATTAGGTACCTATCTTAAACCTTACATATTTCAAATATTTATTTAATTCTCGAGTAGCTACCTTCTCAATATTTGTTAACCTTAACGTTACAAAAATACAATAATGCTTGACTAAGAAGGAAACGATAATTTGTTTAGAAAAAAATAAGGATCTCTCGAATGCCATATGCCCTTATTCACGGCATTGAAAAATCGGGAACCGTAATAAGTATTTACGGTGCATTCGACCTTGAAAAATATATGAAAAAGTTACCTATATTTAATTCCTTATCGGTATAAAATTTAATGTTCATATTATGTTCAACTGTATTCTATTAAGATGTTTAACATACCTATAGCTACCTATTAGCCTTAGGTTAGGAAACAATTTCATAAATAGGTATTTCTGTACAGTCTAAAAGTTATAGATGTGGTTATAGCATAAAAAAAGAAATGACTCACCATTTTGGAACTATCTACAGAGTCGTGATTGTACAAGTTGATGTCCTCGTATTCGCAAAAATTTACACCAAAATTCAAATATGGCACTAATTGAGACATAAGGGAGCTAGCTAACTAAACCAGACAATAGAATTCACACTGCGACGAATAATCGTCAAATTAACTGCTAGCTGATAGCGCTTTTCCAGTTTGTAATAATTACACAAGGCTATCTTGATTTGCCATCTCTTTCACACTCGAATAATTGATATTTTCTACTCTGCTCGGATAGACATACGTAATATCTAGTTGATTAACCAGGGGATTAAATTTATGAAAAGGAAACCTATTAGCTTTAGGAATTTCGCACACATTCACATTCGAAAATCAGACTTCACCATATAGGTACACCTCTTAAAATTTCCTCTTTTAATTAATAATTTAGAAAATTTATTGTTTAAAAAATTACGGCTTTCCTCAAAAAATAGCGATGGCAGATAATATATTTTTTGGTGATGGTGTCTAATACATCCGCTTTTGCCCATTCCTTACTATTTTTAGCTCTGTTGTGGTACTCTGTGGTTGTTAGTTATGATGTCTAGTCCAAATCTACATACTTTTGCCCGCAAACATAAAAAAAACACGCATTGAAACAGTTTGCAAACTTCTGTACAAAAGCATTTATAGGTACATTTGCATTTGTGTTTCCTTGTTTTCTTTCTAGGATGGAAAACAAATGTTTTAAACACAAACATTAGCCCGCAAACAATTACAAGTAGTGTGGGATTATT